GGATAGGCAACTGTGCTGGCATACTGGTATAGTTCACACAAATTTAGCGTTAATCAATTCCAGGATGCCCTCCAGCTTTAAGCTGCTCTTCTCCCAGCAGTGTAACACTTGCCTAGGTACAGGGCAACTTAGGCAGCTGCCTGCAGCTGGGGTATAGGAATATAGCATTATTGACCAAATTAAGCAGCTTAGCAGGTGGTGAATGCAGGCTATGTTATGGAGTGAAAGTTAGTCTGGTGCTGGCATTGAAGGAGTGGTTGAACAGAGAGAGGAGAGGAAGGGACCTGTGTCTGAAATTGAAGCTGTGGGAATGTTTGTGTGATGTAAAGACAGATGCAGCCAAACTAAGAAGTTCGTTTGGACAGGAGCTGGAGAAAAAGCTGAAAGTTGGAGAGGATGGTTGATGGATGATGGTGAATGATAGAAGTGCAAGACTATTTCTTCATGGAAACTCAAATTTAGGATAAGGTGATTGATAATAGAAACAGATAAATAGGTGCTTTCATTGGATTTATATGTGCGCTTATGTGCGTATTTGCATACATTTAAGGGAAGTTATTTGTTTTTCCTGTGAATTTTCACATTAATCCCATTGTCAAAAAAAAGAGCTATAGGTACTACTTTGCTTTCTTCCTTTCTTGTCTTTGGGTGTCTTTGGTACTTTGCGGTGTTCTGAACACTACATCTACAATGACATATTCTGTCTTTCTATTTCGTGTGGTAGAAACCTTTCACGTCTTACTACATAATCTGCCGAAGGTTTTAAATAAGGCAAGCACAGTGATTGCATAGTTGGTTCCATTTGGAAATGGCAGCTTTTATCAAGATATGCATTTTAAATTGTGGAGATTTTCTAATTTGCAATGTTAACTCCCCGTGTCTGGGAAGCCACTGTGGTCTGCATCCTGAGATTGCCGTGCAGCTCCCTGTACTATTAGTCAAGCGGAAATCTCCTAACTAAATACTCACGCAGAGCTCTGTTGCTTTCCTGCTGTGCTCAGTGGATAATAGGGGCCTGTCTCACTTGAGAGCTGCTCAGCATGGAGAGATGTAACCCACCGCCCAAGCAGGGCGTACAGCCTTTTTCCCGGGAGCCTACTGTGGGCTGGCCCTACAGCTTGGAAGAAGCACGGAGACGGAAAAGTAATCGGCCGCCTGTTGGATTTGTGGGGCTGTGAATGGCCAATTTGCAGGGATTAACAGAGGTCTGGCTTAATAAATGTGTCTGCTTGCCTAATAGATTTGAGTAAATGAACCTTAAAATACTTGATTTAATTTCACATTGGGCACCAGATATCAGTGACCAATGAAGAACTCAAGCATCCTGGTGAGCGTTCCAGCTTTGCAAAGAAGTGAAATCAGCCATGATGCCATAACAGCTGATAGAGAACAAAAGCCATTTGGAAAACAAAATTAGCTTCTGCTGTTTCCCTCGCAGGGACGTCTGTGGCCTGACATCAGGGGAGCGAGTGTTTTCATTCAGCACAGTTTGTTGTGGCTCGGTGCCCTGACCGGCTGGAAGGGAGCCCTTGCTCTCCCACCTTCGATGGCATGCCTTGTCCTGTAGCCTTGTGCTATTACGTGGTCCTGGATCTCCTAGGCAAGTGGCTAGATGGAGAAAAGATCAAAACTGCTTGGATAGGGAGATATACCATCACTCAGCAGGGCAGCAGTCGCCTGAGCCTTGACATAAGAGGTGCAGAAGATGACACAGAAGCAATAAAAGTTTCCTGAAAAGACTCATAAGGGAGAAAAATGCTTAGCAGAAAGAGGTTAGACATTGCTGAGGGCGGTAACAAAATAAAAGGGCAAAGAAATATTACTAGTAATTAGTGGAAGCAGAAAACTTAAAAGCACATGTGTATTTTTTCGTGTTTAGTGTTTGCTAAGGTTTCATCCACAAAAGCAGCAAGAATTTCTCAGTGAGCAGCCCTATAGGAACCACCTGTCCTTTATCATTAACATCTTCCTGTGCTTATTGTGTAGCATCCCTCTCTACCTACCCGCCTGAGGCAGGCTACCGTGTAAAGAAGGTAGGCTTGTTGTGGTTCATCATTCTGGAGGTACAAGAACTGGAGGCTTCATCAGCTGAGTGGAGCATCACAGACAGGACACAGTTGGGACACGGCATGAGTGTGCACACCCGTCCGATCTCTCTCAAAGGCCACCAGGCTTCAATCATGGGAGCTGTACCTCAATAACTTTAATGCTGATCATGTCCCAAAGCCTCACCTCTGATCACCACAAGTTCACGTTCTACTCCTTTAATGCCTCACAGTAGGGGTTCTGTTTCTGTGTGTGACTCCGTGGGAACCTTCAGGCTCTCTCGGCCACAGCATGCTGTCCATCAGTGTGTGTCGCAGACTCACATCCTTAGTGCTAAATGATTAGCTGCAGTTCAACATTGCTCTCTACTCTCTGGGGTTATAAAATGTATCAACAATGAAAGATTTGAGTCTAGAGTGTTCCCTTACTCAAGTTTTGATGAAAGCATTCACTGTGTAACCCAAACTCCAAACAAAACGTAAAGTATTATCGTCAAGTCAGAGAGGACTCTGGCACCACTTGTTGGGCAGTTCCCACACCCAGAATTAACCTCCATATTACTTTGTTTCTTTATGTTAGAACTTCCTAAAATGTGGTCACACAGTAGGAATTTTTTTTTACCACTTGAAGTTTGGTATTTATCCATACAGAAGTCTATATGAGGATATATCATAAAAATGCAGGAGAAAGTAAGATTTTAAAAAAATACTTTTATTTTGGTGCAAACAACTTTTAAAATCTGTGTCTAGTTTTTTCATTATATGTAATTTTCTAGAACCCTTTAAAGACCCTTTGCCTATCAGTATTAGTTCTTTTCTATTTATTGTATGAATATACTATGATTCATTTATTAATTCGCCTGTTGCTGAATTGTTGTGCTATTTCCAGCTTCTATTATGAGTCAGCTGTTATGAATTATTTTTGTTAATGCACTTGCATTTTATTTTCTTTTGACTAAATTGCTTAGATTGTAATCGTCAAGTTTAAAAAAAAATGTGAAATGGTACAATCACTTTGAAAAAAGTTCTTGCAATTTCTTGCAAAACTAAATTTTCCAACCTGGTATACTGTTTAACACTTTCCCAGAAATTATAGAGCTCCAGTTGCTCTATGTAAACAACATTATTTGATGTTGCCATTTTCTAAATGGTTTATATTGAAGTGTCTTATTTGTTTCCAAAGAATGTGACTAAGGCAGTAAAATTGTTGGGCTTTTTCTGGTAAATAAATCCAAGTGGACTAACCAGTAAGAATTAGACATTTTCCCTGAAGTTATTCAACAATCTATAGATTCTGGTTACTGAGTGATTTCTCATAGATTTTCTAGCCCAATTTCTTCATTTCAAATATAAAGAACTAAGACTCAGAATGTGGAAAGATTCTACCTAGGGTCATTCATTAAAGTGGCACCACAGCCACAGTGGCAAGAATGTGGTAGATGTATTATGACTCTCTTGTGTCATGGCCAATATCACGGTTGAGCCCCATTTCAGATGTCTTCTCCAGATGGGACACTAAGCGATCACAGTTAATTCATTGGATTCAGTGTTCAGGGCAGGACCTGTTTGTACCTCAGCACTTGATAAATTCAGAAGCCCTGTGGGCACCATCACCAAACCATCACTTTTGGGAAGGGATGCGTCAATCTGAGGGTTTGCCTTCAGCTAAGGGAAAAGGTGCATCTTTTTATATATATGTTTCCCTCTTTGATTTAGCAGAGGAGAAGGAGTGTCTGAGGCTCAGAGCAAGATCTCTAATTCTGCCAAGCTCTAGCCATCAGTCGCATCATAAGACAGAGCTATAGAATTTTAAAGCAGAGGAAATAAAATTAATTTTTCAGAATCCAATTTGCAGATTGTTTTTGAGAAAGAAATTTTGAGCCTGTTGTGGGTGCTGTCTGAAAGCTGCATCCTGGGGTGTGTGCAGGGTTCCTTGGCATGCACCTGCCCATGCCTACACATCTGTGTGAGTGCTGGTCCATGCCCGCTCTATAAGTGCCAGTATATGCTCCCACACCTGGTTCATTATGACTCTTGTCCTGACTCAAAGAGGAGAAGGAATCTACTATGTGTGGTTGCAAAATCTATCAGCTGCCTGGGATAAGCCTTGCTATTACATCAAACCTTTCAAACCACAGAGACATTGAGAGGAAATAAATTCAATAATGACTATTCAGTGTTAACATTGGCACTCTCTTCTTTCTGATAAAGACCAGGTTTTTCCAAATCCTAATTCCTGGCAGGGGAGAGGATTTCTCTTACTTCTGGATAGATATAATTATTCTGTTTTTCTTTTATTTTCTTTATTTTTGAGATTCTATCTGTTATGATGGCCAGGGATGAAAAAAAAAAAACCAGAAGGTTAAGAAGTAGTCACGGAGACATATGTTTTTATTTTCCAAATATTAAAAATGATAAACATGCCTTGCAATGGAAAACACAGCTAAAATATAATAAGAAGTGAGTAGTGTGACCATGCATCTGATTTATGCATATTTTCAGTTATTTAAAAAGCAGTCTGCCTAGGACGGGTGATACAGAAACAAATAGAATGTGACCAGTTTTCTAAAAGGTCTGACAGTGCAGTGAACATCTAAGCAGTCCATGTATTAGAGAACAGAAATCTTCTGTTTCCAAAGCCAGGAAACTACCCACAAAAGCTGCTTCGACCTGGCTGTAAAGGAAGGGACAGAATGACATAACCAGCTTAGGTTGTATCATCTTACCCCAGTTGTTTGGAATTAACACAGTCTAGCATGTTTCAACCATATTAATATTCTTCCTAGATACTGGCAAAGAAAGCATAGTCTTAAATGCTGTTTTTCCCCTTTTTGAGGTAGAGCCCTAGTGTTCTTATCTGCTGTGTGGATTTGTGACATTTTGAGACTCAGAGGAGAACAGGAGAATCTGGTGTCCCACAGAAGACTCAGTGGGTGTCGTTATTTCTTCTTGTAGCCCCTCATCACCTTGGACAGCAGTGTCTCCTTCACCTTCCTCGCTGAAGGAACCAACACGATCACAGTGCAAGTGGCTGCCGGGAATGCCCTTATCCAGGACACGAAAGATATTGCAGTTCATGGTAAGCTCTGAAAATTGTCCTAAGATGCGCCCCCGCCGGCCCAGCCAAAGTCTCTCACGTGCTCCCATGCAGTGACAGGTCATCTGTAAGTTCTCCAGGCCATTTGGAATTGATGAAGGTTTTTTGGAGGGACCCACACCCACCTCCTCTCTTACTCCTGGCTAGACAGGTTGTGGCTAGAAGAGAACCATATCACACGCACCTGTTGTCCCCTTGGTGTGTCTGCATCATTGTCTGTCTGGGGGTTCTCATTAAACAGTCATATATCTCAGGTTGAAGAAAGGTTAAGCAAGAACAATTTTCATAGAAATAGCTAGAACTTTTGTCCAGTTGAGATATTCGCAACACTCTTTGATAGGAACCAAGGATTTCAAAAGCTGAAGAAATTGTGGCCCCTCCCCTTTCAGGGCACATGGTTCAGGTGAAGACAAGGCTTACACAGAACAGATGCATTTTTGTATTTCTCAGAATTTCTGATATCATTGTCTACAAATGCTTGATAATGAGCTGAAAATACAAGCTTGGAGATGGGCAGAAGCCTGGTCCACAAGATACCCCTTCTGATATCTATTATGGGTTGTAATTTATTTTCATGAAATCCGCTGTATCTGACACAGGCTGCCAGGACCCTAGACCTACCCCCTATCATTCTGGTTTTTGAAGGGTTGAACTGAGCTACTATTTCTTCATCATCACCCTTTCTTTATAACTATGTAAACCCTCTACTCATGTTCTACGTTGGATACCTGGAAAGGGCTTTTGTAAGTAAATATTTTTTTGAAGTATACATTTTACACAGAAGAATTCAGCTTTTTATATGTCCTCCTAATGAATAGACATGGTGACCTCATCAGCCAGATCAAGAAAATGAACATTACCAATAACCCAGAGCCAATATTTCAGCATCTGTTCTGTTTTTCCAATGTAGTTTCTAGCAGGATGGGCTCAGGCACTGAGGGCAGAAGTGAAAAGATTCCATTCCAACCTTACCCCAAATTGTGAACACTCTGGTTGTTCTGCACAGCCCCACTGACAGCAGCAGAAATCTGCTTCTGAGGTTTCGTCTGTGTCTTTCACTGCAGACAATATTATTCAAAGAAGAAAAGGTTAAGATCTTAGGAACTAGCAAAAAGAGTACAAGCACATTCAATCATGAAATTCTACTTCCAGAAGCCAAGAAATGGACTGAAAATGAGGAGTTAACGTTGCAGGCTTATAAAAGAGCACACTCCCCAAGAGACACAGCAATTATGGGTCTCCTCAAAGAACACTCCCTGTTTAATCTCACTCTCCCAGATTCACTGGCTGACTCTCTCCCTCCTGCAGAATACTTCCAGTCACAGCTCTTGTCGTTTTCTCCTAATCTGGATTACCATAATCCTGATATTCCCGAATGGAGGCAAGATATTGGCAATGTCATCAAGAAAGCTCTTATTAAAGTAAGTTCACTTTATCTTTGCCTAAGTCTTTGTGGATAGAGGAAGAACTTGATAATATCATGTGCAGTGTATTTTTGTGATTTTTAAAAACCAGAATTCTGTAGTTAGATGAAAGGGATTTCTCCATAAAATTAAAATGGCAAGGAAAGAATAGAGACTGGGAAGGAAGGAAGAAAGGAAAGAAGGAAGGAGGGAAGGAGGGAAGGAGGGAAGGAAGGAAGGAAGGAAGGAAGGAAGGAAGGAAGGAAGGAAGGAAGGAAGAGAAGGAGTGTGAGGGGAGAGAGGGAACATGTGGAGAAGGAGGGGGAATAGAGAAGGGAGGGAGGGTAAGAGAGGGAACAGTCTAGAGTTTGAAGATAGAAATAGATCCAATGTTTATCCTTTTTTTTTTTTTCGAGAAAGAGGCTTTATTCCCTAAATAAACCGAACCATTAGTTTTAGCCATTCATTCATTTCTTAAAATATAATATACATATCTGACCCTTTATCCATCAGGAAGATCTTATTAACCAGAAGACTGTTAGCCAGGAAACAGAACGTTCTAGCAGGATCATAGAGTTATTGAGTTAACCCAAGGTCAGATTTGCCTTACAGAAAGTAAAAAGGTTTTGTTATCCATTTTCTCACAGCAAAATACTAGCATATAATGATGAATAAAACACTGCATTTTTGGAAGTGTCTAGTGTACTATTAAATATATGATAGAGATGTGGCCAGCTTCCCCAAGGAAGGAATGTAGGAAAAATTGTTGTTCTATCCAAGGAAGGATAGAATTAGCAAAAACTTATGATTCAATAAATACTCACTGAACTTATCAAAATGATTTTTGAGGGGGATTTGAACTACTGTATTGAAAAGGATGAATTCTGATTAACAAGTAAGGGAAGTATCTTTTGGGTATGTGATGAGCCACATGTTGAGATAGTACATTATATTTGGAAAGTGGCAAAAGCGTCGTGTAGCAGTGTATACACTATAAAGGCAAGTGTGGCTCAAGTTTAGCTGGGATGGTTAGGACACACTACTAAAGATCTGAGAAACTAAGTGATATTTGGCATATGTCCTTTGGGAGTGGAGAATGTAAAAGCCTTATTTATTTGATAAAGTGGTAACTGTTCATGGTCCACCTGTAACAGTAGTAATTTAGAGGCCTGGATTGGGAAGAGGAGAAGTTTTTGAAAAAAGAATGAAAGTAAAGAAATGACTAGTCTAAACACTACTGCGGGGGCAGGTCATCCTTCTAGGGGCTGAGATGCCACTGTCCTACAGTGGAGTACCTGGCACTGTCCTACCTGCTAACCCCACCCTCTTGCTTATGCAAGCCCCAGGAGGCAGCACCTGATGGTGCAAGCAACTAGGCTCCTGTCAGTTGAATTCTTGGTTTCCAGTTTTGGCCCAGGCCCAGTCCCAGCTGTGGCAGGAATTTGGGTAGCGACTCAGTGAATGCCCTCTCTCTTGCTCCCTCTGTCTTCTCTCTCATCCCCTCACTTCCCCTTCCCTCTTGCTCTGTGTCTTCCCACCTCATTTCTTTTCCTGCCTCTCAAACAAATATTAAACAGCTTAAAGTTTTAAGAAATAGATCGCTGTAGTAGTCTGTGAGACATAATATCCTGTAAAGAATAGCAAAGTCTACGTCCCATGTTAAACAGAATTGCTGACTTTACAAAATGTAGTATGGGAAGGAGGGAAGGAGTGCCTGCCTGCCGAAAACAGCAGGCGTTGCCATTAGTCAAAGTGGACACTGTGAAGGAGAAACTTCAGGAGCAGTCATGGTTTGATCTGTTCTCTATGAGTTTGGAGCACATGAAAAATGATTGAGTGAAAGTGACCAGGATTGTGAAATGGTCTGGATGTCAAGCAGAGGGTCCTACTGGAGGAAGAGATTGGAGAGTTGAGGCTGTGGTGGTCACCACGCTTACTCCCCAAGATGTAGGGGCAGGGCAAGCAGGACCACTGATAACTCACAACACAGAGGAGCAAGACCCAGGACAGACGTAGCGTAAAGTGCTAATGGAAAGGAAGCAGAATGAATAAGGAAATGTGAGACCTAGAAGAACATTTGTGGGTGGGGATGGGGAGGAAGGTAGTAACACAGCAGTTAGTTGTATAAAAGAAACCTCACTTCCAAACTTTTTGTAAAGGGGATTGTTGGTGGAAGATGAAAATGAAAGTGTCTTCATACACCCTGAGAGTTAAATCTAGTCTGTTAGTTGAGGTCCAGGTAGAATTAGAGCTGAGCAAATGGAAAATCGTCAACCCACTGCTTCTCTTCAAGGCAGCACCTACTTAGGGAGTTTCCAGTGTGTGGAGCATCATGGGGAACACCAGGGTAGCTAAAAGATGCTCAGGAGTGCTTTGGCAACTGCACAGGAGGAACCTGTCAGAGAAAGGATTTCACAGTACTAGACAAATGTTCCTGTAATGTAGTGGACATGGTCAGTCTGCAGGAGCTTGGGTAAGAAACGGAAGTAGAGTCACTGAAGGCAGAGAGAGTCAAGGTGGGTGTCTTGGAGGAGGCCGATATTTCAGCTGAATCACAAATTACACGTAACAGTGGAATGGGCAAGAGAGCTGTTGTGGATAAAAAGACCTGCAGGAGGGACACGCGGAAACAAATAAGGCTGCTGCAGGATGGAACCTCAAAGCGTGTCTTTGTCCGAAATCTGCTTTCTGAGGGCATCTGACTTTGAAGTTTTGATCACAAAAGCAATATAGCCCTTTTATTCATCACTCAGGAATAGAAAAATTCACTGATAATCTCAGCTTTCTAGCAGTGGCTGCTCTTCCTTGTTTTATTCTAGGCCATTGTATTTTTATAGAGTTATCACAAGAGGAGTGTAAGGAGATTGGTCACAATGCGGCTATCATGTTACTGCTTGTCATTCCTGCTCGTGTTAATGGTTGAGCAGTCCTCTATCTGCTGTTGATAATCAGTTGATTTTTGTTGAATGTTTTGCATTTTCTTCCACTTACTTGCTATCTTGTAATACTGTTGCATTTTTTCCCCCCTCTCATGATTTCTCCTGTAGTTTGATTTTTTTTTGTCTTGGGGACAAAGGTACCACAATATAATGACTGAATGAAAGGCATCAATATTTGTCTGGCCTTTTGAAGACCAAATTGACAATGTGCATTGACTTTGAGTGCTGCCAGGAATAGAGGAGAGGACTTCCTCACTTCAGCCTCTTTAAAAGAAAACAAACAAACAAACAAAAACACTAAAAGTTAACATTGTTCTGCCTTTTATGCCCTTTGCATTTCCCATGTTTGCTTATAGCTGTTTGTTCCTTATTATTCACCAGTTTGCTTAACTAGCACTGACAAGATCTCATTCTCTTAGTGCAGAAAGATAGGAAATATGGGAGGAATTTTTGCAAGTGTTCCCAACAAGCAATGTTTCAAAACTAAGTTGGGGTGCCATTTTAATTTCAGTCAAGCGTATGTAAGAGAAGAGGCAAGAGTGAAATTTACCTGACTTCTCAAACAAGAAAAAAGCCTGAATGTATATGATGGAACTTCAAAGAGTTAATGGGATATATAACAGATAATATTCATTTCCTACCAAAAATCTCTTCAATCCATGCATATAAGCATCATGTGATTTATGGAAATTATGTATTATGAAAAAAAAACTGTGCATATATTTGAAAATCTTTTTGCATCAAAATAGACATTTTAAAAATTCAATTTTCCACCAACTTTAAAAACACATGCATTGAGGAACTCAAAAGTGTTGCCTTTTAAGAAGCTTCCAGGAGACTTGTAGCTAAGCATGATCTGCTGCCTGCTACTGAGCTGGCGGAGCCCAGCTCTCCGGATCTTCTCTCATGCATCTAAACATTTCTTAGGTCACCAGTGTCCCAGAAGACCAGATCCTCGTTGCTGTGTTCCCTGGCCTCCCCACGTCAGCAGAGCTTTTCATCCTTCCACCTAAGAACTTGACAGAGAGGAGGAAAGGCAATGAAGCAGACCTGGAACAAGTAAGTGAAAGAAAACGTGATGCTCATTCACAGTGGACAGTCACTGATAACTAGTAAGAGGGACAAGCTCTCTCCCCATTGGCCCATTGGCCTGTCACTCCACACCGTACCCATGGTTACGAAGAACAACCAGCTGTGGCCCACGGCGACTTCGCAGCTAAAGCCATTGGCTGCATGCAACGCTGACGTCTCATATGGGTGCTGGATTGAATCCCTGCTAATGTGCGTAATGTCAATTGGAAAGCAGTAGATAGAAGACCCAAGTCATTGAGCCCCTGCATCCACGTGGGAGACCCAGAAAAAGCTCCTGGCTTTATGGCCACTGGGGAAGTGAACCAGTAGAGGAAGTCTCTCTGTGTGTAACTGCCTTTCAAATAGAAATGTCTTATTTGTTTGTTTGTTTGTTTGTTTTTACAAAAAGGACAACCATCTTTCCCCAAAGTCAGCACACATGCAGGTCAACTCTTATGTTCAGCAGAGGTGGGCCCAGCAGTCCTACCCCGTTCATTCCACAGGATGGTGTTCTTGTATCTTTTGCTCTGAGAGATGAAAGGGAAGCAGATTTGTTTTCCTATCCATGTCTGGGAATCTGTGCTTCTTGTTTTTTTTAAACTGTGCCAGCCCTAGAGAGCCTGGTCAATTTAAGTTCTGCTCCTGGGGAGAAAATGAACTGCATTTAAACATGTTTCCCTGGAGAGAGATGAATTGCTTCATCTTGGTTTGACTAAGGAGCCAGTATATCTAAAAGAGATTGTGATTTACTGTCCTTATGAAATGAGCGTAGAGCTCCTGAGAGCTGCTCGCCATCCTGGTACAGCAGGAGGCGGCCAGCCACTGCTCACCCACTTGCTCCTGCCAGTGTGGGGTAACGCCAGCTGCGCTGCCTCACTCCTTCCTGTCTTCCCAGGATGCTGCTTCAGGACTGGTAGAAATAAGTGAACGAATCTACCGGAATCGGGCACGAATCAGATACACTTGAATTATTGTAAGAGATTATCACTGCACAGAGAAGCATTTCTGTGTCCCCTTAGGAGTCACCCAGCCGTCACCCTGTCCCTGTGTCCATCCTTAGTCCAGAAGCAGTATAGATGCCACAGCAATCAGCTTTTCTGAAAAGAAAAAAAAAATGAAAGAGTTTCATGGAACTACAAATATGCATCTTCCGTGTGGCCAGGTATAAACTGAGCTCTTTAACACACACATCCGTTTTACAAGACCTCTTTATTCTGACAAATCACGTGGCGTGTGTGAACTATATTTGGAAGCTACAATACCCATCCATTTAGATAAATAGGCAATTAGAGTGATGAATAGCAGCTGTGATATTAAGGCCCATACATGAGATAAGAATTAGGGACAACAGCCTAAGTCGGCCTCAGCTTTCATGTGGGAATTACAGCATGATTAAATCGATGTTATGTGTGCTCAGACTTGCTGGGCAAAAGTAAAGAGGAAAAATTAGTGCATAAAAGGAGCCAGCTTCTGCTTTGATGTTTGCCTCCCATTGTCTCTAAGATAAGAAAAGCAGAGGAGTGGGCTGGGGGAAATCTGTGCCTGCTTTCATCCTGGTAGGGGCCTCCATATCCTGTGTGTTACCTGATCAGATTGAAGAGCTAATGATGGGCTGGCTTTCTGTCATTGGTACCTACAACAATCTGTCTCCAGTAGCGATCAAGACATGGATGAAAGAGCCCTGGACTAGGAGTTGAATAGAACAGTTCCCCAGGTGATTGTAGACACACCTCCTTCCATCTCACTCTTCTCTGTAGTATAAGTAAGCAATATTAACTACAGGCTTGGTTTCACAGAGTGCCTAGGGCTGTGAGAACCAAATTAATAAAGTTATTCCAGTCTCCTGTCCCCTAAATGAACATGGTCAGTTTTTGGTTACTGCTCTCCTAGGGTTCTTAGTACATGAAGGACTATTATCATATGAGTTGTTTCCATGCAGTCAGTCTCTCTCACTCTTCTCTCTCTCTCTCTTCAGATTGTGGAGACACTATTTAATGCTCTAAACCAAAACCTGGTCCAGTTTGAGCTGAAGCCAGGAGTCCAAGTCATTGTGTACGTCACACAGCTAACTCTAGGTGAGTGCCTGTTGGGCATGGACAGTGAGTGCCTTAGTCCGTCTGTTACTCTGGGGAGAAGAGGGCGGTGATGTGGGGAAGTACTTCTCCATCAGTGTGTGAAAATGGCTTCTAACAAGGCCCTTTTTATGTGGTGGTGGCTCCCAGAGTTTGATCAAATCCCTGTGGAGATATCTGCTGCACGTGGCACCAAGACTCTGTAACAAGTGGCTTGGCCGTTGATCCTTGGATAGTTTGGAGAAAAGCTAGACTTCCTGAAACTAGTCTGTCCGTCCTTCCTTCCTTCCTTCCACCAAACTATCCATTCATCCTGCTTCCCTCTCTCCCTTTTCCGTCTTTCTTTTTTCTGCCCTTTTTAAACTTCAAAGAAGAGTTATCAGGTTCTCGTAATCTCTATGATTCACTAATCATTGTATGAACCTAAGTAAAAACTGGGATCCCATATGGGTGCCGGTTCTAATCCTGGCAGCTCTGCTTCCTGTCCAGCTCCCTGCTTGTGGCCTGGGAAAGCAATGGAGGACAGCCCAGGGCCTTGGGATCCTGTACCCACTGGGGAGACCTGGAGGAGGTTCCTGGCTCCTGGCTTTGGATCAACACAGCACTGGCTGTTGTGGTTACTTGGGGAGTGAATCATTGGATGGTGGATCTTCCTCTCTGTTTCCCTCCTTTCTGTTTATCTGATTTTGCAAGTTTTAAAAAGAGGGTATCATACAGGGCAATGCCCTCTCGCTCTCTGTAACAGCCTACTTTAATGGTTGTTACTAAAGGTGCACTTTCCATGTGTGGAAGATCCAAATGTGCCTGCCCAGTGATCTTTTACCAGAACGGCATAGAGCAAGAGAAGGAAACAGGGCATTAATGTTTACCGTAAAATTCACCGCGGGTTCCATCTCATGCTGCCAGGCATGAAGGTATCCATGAGAAACAGCATCCGAGCCCTCCCTCAATTCCCATTCCTGGAATGGACACTTTTATCTCTACACCAAGAGCCACGTTTCCCCACGTGGCACAGAGCTGCTTATTCCCCCTGAGGAGTTGTGACGGAAGCTGTCATTCTCATCACAGAAGCCCATCTCCCCCTGCCCAGAGAGTCAGGAGCCTCCCTTGCTCCAATGCGTACTCTCCCCAACTGACATCACCCAGTGAACACGGCTGTTCCTCCCCAGCTCCCCTGGTGGACTCCAGCGCCGGGCACAGCAGCTCGGCGATGCTCATGCTCCTGTCCGTGGTGTTTGTTGGCCTGGCAGTGTTTCTGATCTACAAGTTTAAGAGGTATGTGCTATAATCAGATTTGTTATGTCATATGATTGGACTTTTATGACACATATCCAGAATATGCAGCTCTGTGGAGACAGAAAGTTCAGTGTTCATTATCAAGGGCTGGGGAAAAGAAGAATCGAAACCATGATTGAGTGTGAATTAGTTGTAAGTGGTGATAGAACCTAGAAAATGATGATGGTTGCAGAACTTTGCGAATCTACTGAAAATAATGGTTTGTATACTTTATAAGCTTTTTAGGTCCAAAATTGAGCAGTGTTTCATATTTTACCACACTCAGTTCGTATGTAGACTTTAATGTCTACGTACAAGCTAATTTTTCTTGAGAAAATAGAGATATTAATATCACAAATGAGTTTGATGATAAAGAGCATAACATGGGAAAAGAAGGCCCTATTGTCTATATGTGGTGTGCTCAGTAAAGCAATTCTATGGGTATCATACTGTTTGGTAGGGCTAGATTGTACACAGATGGATCTCCCAAGGAGCATCCCTGACCCCTTCCCAAGAGGGACAAGCTCATTCCTGGATGCTCTCTGGGCCCTGGGGGCAAGCTGAAATGGTGAAGTGTCCTGGAAACAAGTGAATGTAAGAATCAGAACGCCAAATATATGGATAAGAAATGAAGTCAGTCGGAGCTAGCTTGTGAGGCCCATTATTTTCTCTCCCTCAAGGGAAACACAAGTTTTTCCAGCTCACCCAGATTTCTAAAGTCTCAAGCCTTCAGGAGAATTAGTTTTGGTAGATTAGTACACGGTTGGTATTCTGGATGGTTAAATAGAGAAAATGTAGCTGAAATCGGGTGAATTAGATCCATGCATTATCTTATGTTGCAGCTAGCTAAGATCTGTTTAAATGGGCATGCCACATATAGTCAAGCTTTTTGCCTCTACTTTCCACTTTTTCCTGTTTCTAAAGGGAAGCTGGCCAGGAAAATGGAAGTCCACATATATTCAGAAATTATTATTGAAACTGGCAGAAGGGGTGATGTAAAATGACCATTACTAAACACAAGAAACTAAAACAGCAATTCTGCACCCATGTTAAAATTGTGTAATCCTTCCTTTAGAAAGTGTGCTGATTAAATGTGTTCACTCTTCAGTAAGACAAGTCTAGTTTTAATGTTCAGGATTTGTAAGTTTGGGCAATTCCGTTTCCCCATGTGGAACATAAGAATGTTTTGCATGATTGCTGAGTGCTTTGAATGTTTTAGTTGGAACATACTAAAGTCGTATAATCATGCCTTAGAAATGTACTTCTTAGGAAGCTTACATAAGATGAAAATGCTAATTAATTCATTCATGCCAGGTACTTTGCAGTAGCCTCAGCTTGTTCCCAGTGCCCTCCTAGACCCTGAAGGTAGCACTTTTGGGTTCTGAAAGCGATTCATGGTAAAGGGTCTTTGCTCCTCCATGCTCACTCTGTTCCCAGCTGGCCACTTCACTTGTTGAAAATTCCAGTTGGTGCAGTTTCTGCACTAACGAAAGGCCTCCAGTATCTGCACTAATGCTGGCGACGGTAGTGTGAGTGTGGAACTGAATTTTTGTTTTAATTTACATGCAATTTGAATAGCCACACTTGGCTTGTGATCGCTTTCTTGGATGACACAGGCTAAGTTGGCAGTTCATTGTCCACCTGCATTTTTAGAGCCCGAAGTGCTATCTTAACTCACTAGCATTACTTAACATTCATTCATTCAAAAAAGCCCTTAATTGAGTCCTTACTGTGTGCCAGATACTGGGACTCTTCTCCATACTCCGAGCAGTCGTTTGGCACAGAGTGCCCAAAGCCCAGGACCCTCCCCAGGCCATCAGGCTCCTGAACGCTCACTGCCATTTGCTGATGTTTCTGGCAGTGCATTTGGGACGTGCCTTTTAATTTCTGAAAACTGCCCTTAAAAGTTCTTTATATGTTTTAGATCTGCTTCTCTTGAGTATTCAGGAAAACATTTGAGCTTTCATATATCTCCTGTTTTGTTGTTTTGTTGTTGTTTTTTTTTTTTCAGTAAAACTTTGATGAAAGCCCATTTTGTTCTCTCTAAATTTCTTCCCATGAGTTTCTGGTATTCATCAGAGCTAGGGAAAAGAAACATAAACTGCACTTGTTTGTTTTGGTTTTGGTTGTTTGCTTGCTTGCATATGTTTTAGGAGAAGGCCGTGTCTCTTTCTTCACTGCTCTCATTTCAACCTGTGTGATTATGTGGCCCAAGACATATCCCCTGATTTCATTGCTTCCCTCCATTCCCTTCTGAAAAAGTGGAGTCCAGATTTGATTTCAACACCTCTGCAAGCATACGTGTTAAGAAAGGAAAAGCAACTTGGCAGTTTCTTCAAATGCTGTAGATTATGGTGTAAAACTCCCTTCTAACTATCTGTTTTAAAAGAGGGAAAAAAATATGCCTGCGGTGAGATGTTTTTCTTAGAGATTGAAATAAAATGAATAATCTTCATAAGAGCAAATTCATCCCGGTCCTCGCAGGCATCAGGGGCAAATCTGGCAAAGGAAAGTGATGGACTCTGATGTAACTCCTGAATAGACAGTCGACTGTGATTAAAGAGTGGCTTGATCACCCCAGCACCATACCATAGGTGTACAGATCACACACACACACACACACACACACAACACAACACACACAGCTAGAGGAAATCTAAGTCATTAGGCTGCATTGCTATTTAGATAAGAAGAAATTAATAAGTAGCATACTCATTCATGAACTGAGTGGATCACTACCTTACAAAGGCTTAATTCATTCAGGATTTTTAGAAATTATGAGAACATGGTTTCACACAGTAGAAGTGATGGGGAGTGCCTTTTGAAATGAATCGAAACATGTAAGCACCTGACCAGATAGAAACACTGCATGTTTTTTTTTTTATCTTGATTATTCAGGAAAACATTGGAGCTTTCATATATCTCTTGCTTCTGAATTAGCTATAGGAAAAGGTTATTCAATGTCATCCTATTTGGTCTTATTGGGATTGGAATACAAGGAGCAATGCTGAAGCTTGAACACATCACTGATGTGCCCTAGTACAGTGAAGTGATTCTCATTTGAAAATGCATTGAATGCACTGGATTGCAGTGGGCGGCAGATGACCCAAATGTTCATGTTATCTGTGTCAGTTTTAATCTGTGAAATGTCTGAACTTCACGCCAATTTCCCCATCATTGTTGAGGAGGGAGGAGTGTCTTCTAGATGGGATGTTCATGATCGGAATAGTCTTTCTATTGAAGAATGTAGTACAGAATAATCCTAAAGAGAATAGGCTTTGAACTCATTGATTCACTCCACAAATGCCCAGTGAATGACGTCATGTGTCCCCCACTCTGCTAAGTCAGGAGCAGAAAACCTAGGCCTTGATCACTAAGGGCTTTTAAAATAGTGAAAGAGAAAGAAAACACATCAGTAAGCATCATATATTCTATCACTCAAGGCCAATACCTTATTTCTTTCTTTCACAGATATTGTATATTCATTAAAGGGGGAAAAAAAAAGAGGAGATATGTCATAGAGGGAACAATTGGTTCAATGTCCCGAAGACAGGAAATAACTTGATGGTGTTACTAGAGTCTAGCAGCTCCCACTGGCCAGCAACACCAGCAGTGTTGGGGAGCTTGACCACAGGGCAGACTCTCCGTCTACCCGGTCCAAACCATTGAGTCACAATCTGCAGTTTTACAAGGGCCCTGAGTGATGCTGAAGCCCATTAAAATTTGAGAAGCCCAGGGCCCAGCAGCATGGCCTCGCAGCTAAAGTCCTCGCTTTGAATGCTCTGGGATCCCATATGGACACCGGTTCTAATCCTGACAGCTCCACTTCCCATCCAGCTCCCTGCTTGTGCCCTGGAAAAGCAGTCAAGGATGGCCCAAAGCTTTGGGACCCTGAACCCGTGTGGGAAACCTGGAGGAAGTTCCTGGCTCCTGGCTTTGGATTGGCTCAGCTCCAGTCGTTGTGCTCACTTGGGGAGTGAATCATCAGATGGAAGATCTTTCTGTCTCTCCTCCTCTCTGTATATCTGACTTTCCAATAAAAATAAAAATAAAAATAAATCTTTTTAAAAAAAAGTTTGAGAAGCCCTGGTAAAAGGAGGTTACAAAGGCTGGACTAATCAGAAGATAATCAAGATGATATGATTGCCCCAAAGAGATTTCAATGAAAACCTATCCTCTGCTTCTACCTCAAGCGTTTAGCTTCTCTTAATCTTCTTCACAATCTTAAAGGGAGGATAGTATTATTCCCCCACTGAACAGATGAGGAAACTGGTTATAAAGCATTTAAGCAGTTGACCTGTGAAGGGTGTTGTAGAGTTTGTGAGAGTGGCTGAGTTTGTTGTCATTTTGTTATATTTTTATATAAAAGAAGTCAACGTGATGCAAGTTGATGCAAGTTCAAAATAAGGTATCTTCTCAGTGGGTAAAGTCTTATGAATCTCAGTGTCTGGCTCTCTGAAAAAGTTCATCACATGCACATATTTTAAGGGTGTTTGTGAATCAATAAGCAACATTGATATCTTTATTTACACCTGTGTTGTTTTCTATCCCAGTGCAAGGTGCATTCTCTAGGCTGTTCTGTGGTTTGCATTCATCTTGTGCTCTTCATGGGGCTATGTCCTTGTGATCCTGGAGTCCCTGGGTGGGCATTATCTTTCCCTGATATTGGCACTGCCTGGTAGCAGCTTTTTCTCTCCTGATCACCTAGCATTGCTAAGTTTCCTGTGACCTTCATCTGATTTTGCTCCTACCCCATGTAGGAAAATCCCCTGGATTAACATCTATGCCCAAGTCCAACATGACAAGGAGCAGGAGATGATTGGGTCAGTGAGCCAAAATGAGAATGCCCCCAAAATCACGCTCAGTGATTTCACCGAGCCTGAGGAACTGCTGGACAAAGAGCTGGACACACGGATTGTAGGTATGTATGTGTCTGTGCTACCAGGCTGCATCCTCTTCCTGCAAACAGATGGGCAACCATCCAACTCTGCTTGATTTTCACACAGCACTGGATAAGAAAAGCAATTGGCTTCAGTGATGTATTCATGTTTGAAGATGTGCCAGCTCACTCTGACCATGTGCAATGAACAACCTTCCTGTTAGAATACAATCAAGACGGGAAGCACTGGGATTGAAGTGGGGGAGGAATGAAACCAGTTATCTTTAACTACTGGGATTTAAAAATTTCTTTTCCTATAAAGCAAAAGCATTCTAAGTCTATTCATAATAACATGGTGGCAAGTATTTAGCCTGGCAATTCTGACTCCCAAATCAGACTGCTTGGCTTCACTTCCCTGAGCCCACCCTTGGCTCCAGCGTCTAGCCAACATAGGCCCGAAGAAGTAACAGGCACCAATAGTTGGGTTCCTGCTACCCATCTGGGAGGCCTGGATGGAGTTCCTGACTCCAAGCTTTGGCTGGGGCTGGCTCTGGGCTGCTGTCACAGCATTTAAAGGGCAAATCAGCTGCTAGATCAATAGATCAGAACTCTGTTTCTGTCTGTTTTTCTCTCCACCCTGTCCCACCCCACCTGTCTTTTTGTCTGCTTCTCTAGTTATTTTTTAAGTCACACCAATGTGACATTGCATTAGATAGTCTTGAATCTGCCTTCTTGCTTTCCAATTTGCTAACCTTGTGCTTTCTCTGCACCTCGTATTTCTCATCTGCGAAAGGGAAGAATAATACCTGAGATTCTATTCTCAATCTGTATTGTGCCTGGGGCTGCATTGTGGACTGGCTTTAATAATCAGATGCTATGCTGTTAGCAATGTGCCTGCCACATCGTAAGAGTTCAGGGCGTGTTGGCTTTGCTGCTGTTGACAGCAGAGCATCCAAGGACAGTGTCCTTTATGCTGGTTTGCTGAGAGTTGAGACGTTTCCGATACACTTTTCAGCAAGTCTCTAAGTTGTGTAGCTGTTGTTCTGGGTGGCTTGATGTTTTGCCATGAAGAAAGCACTTGCCCTGGTGGAATTTGCATCATTTTTCTCCCCCGTGTCTTGTGTCTTCTCCACTCTGCAGGGGGGATCGCCACCATCGCCAACAGTGAAAGCACAAAGGAGATTCCCAACTGCACCAGTGTTTAATACCAGCAAGCCACGTGCTCAACCACCTTTCTGACGTTTTATTTTTGATGACTCTTATTGCTCTTATGGAGGAACAGAAAAATGTCTTTTTTTACATTTTGTTTACCAAGGGCCCCTTCATAAGGACCAGGCAGATGTTTGGTTTTGAAAGCAAAAGGCAATCTGAAAAGATTTAAGAGGCAAAGGGAATGAATGGCTGTACTTGTGCTAAAGGACAAGGATGTATCTTTCCACAGCCTCCTTGCTTTATTTTGTCATTGGCAGTGCAAAGACTATTTGCTTGTGGTCCCCTCCCTTTTATTTAAGCTGCATTAGCTACCCCGTAGTCTCCCATGCCCACCCCATGTACACATGTACACATACAGCGCAAACCATTTCCCACTCAGATCCCCAGGAGGCAGGTTAGTGCGGAGTGGCCGTCGGTACAGTGTGTGCACCTTTATGAAAGAGGCCCTGCCTCGTGCATGAAAATAGCGAGGCCGCAGGTAGTTTATTGTATATAATTACAATGTAAATAGCTTTTTATTTCCTGAGAAATAATTTAATGTTTAGTAAAAAAGAAAACAGAAAAAAGAAAGATGCGTGTGTTGGCTTACGCACTCACCCTCAGCGCTGCTTGATGTGATAGCTTCTGGATGCTCTCCAACCGTCTGTCACACTCTCACCGCTGGCGTCTCTGTCCACTCCACAGCTGGTTTCTGCTTGTGTATCCAGAGGGATGGGGAACAGCTTATTTGGGGCAACTGATGAAGGAAGGACTCTAGTGACATCACACAACATGAGGTCCATTTTAGTTCTGACACTATGGGAGAACCTATCAAATGAAACACACTGGAGATTTCAAACTGAGATGGGGAGAATCTTCTCTACTAAGAAAACATGGAAGATATTTATCAGCCCAAGAACGTTGTTTTGTCTGAAGAAACCATGCGGTATTGTTACAGATCCTGTTCAGTGGATTTCATGGAAATATGTCACGCCTGTGGTGAATTCTTGGGCTGTTCTTAGCTCAGAAATGTCTCTTGGACACCAGGTACAGGCCTGCAAGTGCCAACTGGCATGAGAAGAGAGAGAGGTTGGAAGGGAGATGACATCCATGGAATCTTGAGTCCATGCACACTCTACAGGCCAAATAGAAGTCCGGCTTTTCATGATGTTAGTCCAAGATGATTTTAGCAAAGCTGTGCTATTTGCTTGTCAGATATACACAACTTCCTTAAAGTTAAATGTCTGCCTTTGCTTCTCTTAAGGTAGTCTCTGCCCCTGGGGTGACTGGCTTTCAAAGCCAGGGTTTGCTTTCCTAGCACCTCCGCCCTTCATACTACTCAACCAGTTGTTTTTGATAGGGTCACGGTAAGCCATGCTCTAAGCATTGTTTTTATTTTTAGGCTCAGCCTGAGTACACTTGTTTTAAAGAATGATATAGTGTATATATATATATATATGGGAGGAAATGCCACATTTTGTACTTGTTAATTTTTGTGGGATGTTGTTCACATTCTTCCTTGTGAGACACAGAAAGAATGTGTTATTGAGAAATCTGGCTGGCTACAGCATAGATCAGTATTAGGAATATTTCTGAAGATTCTAATTTCTTTTTTGTTTGTTTCAAGGGTTATTGGGGCAGACAACTGCAATACTTGTATTGAACCCTGGAATACAAATGCATGAGTCATATCTATATACACAGTATATGTACATATACTGTTCTTGGTTTTATTGTTCCATTTGAATATTTCTACTGTAAAAAAAAAGACAGTGGTTTTGAAATTGTTGAAAATAAATGTATTTTTGTACATCAAAGCTGCCATCTTGGCTGGGCTTTCACTGTTTGGGCAATTTTTCTTACCTATTTTATTGGTCAACTATTGTGGCAATAATGCCATATGGTAAAAAAGAATGGTTTATAACAGGGGTTTATCTTTGCTCATGGCTCTTCAGATTGGTGGTAGTTTGTCTCAACATCACTGGAATTGTCCGGGTCCCGCTGGGCTAGTCTGAATCATGGCTCCCAGTACATTTGAATCTGCTCAGTGAGCCATTATCATCTAGGAGCAGCAGCTACTCAGGGCATGTAATTTCCAAGTGAGAACAGCAGAATACACTATGTCTCTAAGGCTTGGCTCAAAATGGTCACTCTGTTAACCTTCACACAGATTCCAGTGTCCGTAAACAAAAACAAAGTCACAATGCAAAGTAATACAACAATAGGTAAGGACATAGGCTCTACTGATCATCCCCGGAAACGTGTGAAGGAATAACCTCAGTATTTGGAAAGCCTGGAGACCTGAGAATAACATCCCAGTTTGCTATCCACAGACGTCCTTTGGAGACTCCCGAGGAGCTTTTTGTTAACTGACTCATTTGAATTTCCAAGTTTCCTATCCACGTGTATGAATATGTCTAGGACTTCGGAGCAGAAGTCCCTCCGTGGCCTTTGAATGTAACAGCAGTTTCCAGGAGTGGGACAATGTGGAGATTTAAGTCAGGTTTGGAAGACTTAAGTGGGAGAGATGAAAATGGGAGAGCAAAGCCAAGGAATCGGTGTTCTTTTCCCACTTCTGCCTGCCATGTGCTGCCTGACACCAACAGACGCTCGCCTGCCTTGGCCCTGCACTCAATGGGCGATTGTTCATCATGCTAGGTCAGTAAGGCGTTGTGGACCAAGTAGCCAGGGTAAGGAATATGAGCTGGACGGATTTGCTTTTTCATTGTTTGAAATATGTAATAACTTTTCTTGGGTCCAAAACACCCAGAAATCTTAACCAAAGGTGAACTTTCATTTGAGGAATTTCTGTTTTAAATTATGTATGAATCTTCCAATAACTTTTCATCAGTTATACTCACTTCTAGAAAAATTCATTGTTACACATCAGCTCTTCACAAGGTTATTAGAAAAGGTATGTTATGAAAAGCCTACTTGTACTTCAAAGAATTTTTATACTGAGGTAACTTTTCTCTTCATTCCATTTTTCCCTGGCCTGCTGGAAATATTCCTGAAATATTGAGACTGTCATTTAGGTATCTTTAAAGAATTAGTTTTTTTTTTTCAAACTAATAGCTCAAAATCTAAAGTGTTTTTGATTCTTTGAGGGATTGTTAATGATTGGGAGATTCTTAAATAATCAAAAGCATCTATAATATTAGTACTCCAACACAAAGGTAAGTTTTCTAAATGCAGCTTTGCTTTCTAATGAAGATGTAGCTTTTTTTAAAAAAAAAGATTTATTTATTTTTATTGAAAATCCAGATATACAGAGAGACGGAGAGACAGCAAGGAAGATTTTCCATCTGATGATTCACTCCCCAACTGAACACCATGGCTAGTGCTGCGCCGATCCAAAGCCAGGAGCCAGGAACTTCCTCCAGATCTCCAACGTGGGTACAGGATCCCAAGGCTTTGGGCCATCCTTGACTGCTTCCCAGGCCACAGGCAGGGAGCTGGATGGGAAGCAGATCTGCTGGGATTAGAACCGGTGCCCATATGGGATCCCAGTGCATCCAAGGCAACGACTTTAGCCATTAGGCCATCACACTGGGCCCGAGAATGTGGTTTTTCTCATGCTAGTTTTGTGTCCTGTCCAGGTAAGCATAGTCTCTCCACTGAATTAAAAAGTTAAAGTTGAAATAAATCTGAATGAGCCTGTGAGTCATGTGAACTAAGCCAGGGGGAAGAAGATAACCCCTGTGTTCCCACCAACACAAGGATTCTCCATCATAGATCGCAGCACAGAGAGATGGCAGAGTTGGATTGCCTTTGTGTTTTCTTTTTCTAAACAGTTCCTCATTTGTGGTGAGAGAACTCTGTACCAGAATTGTCTTCTCTAAGGTAGTTCTAGACCCGGGAACTCAGCTCTGTGGGACTGGCTGGAACCCAGCTGTGAGTCCATTATGCTGTCCATAGTCCAATGTCCTGATGTCCATTGCAGTCTAAGAATAATTGTGTTATCTGCAACTAAATCGCCAGAGGTAGAAGTTTTGAGTAGAAGTCACTCCCCAGGCTCCTGATGCCATAATACAAGGCGCCTCCATCTACACGATGGGTTTTTGGTTTGGTTTTATCCTGGTAAGCAACTATAACTTGGAGAATCACTGGACGGGGTGACTTAAGACAAAAACACAGCAGGTTAAGACAGCAACCTGCTGTGTTTGGGAAAGAGTAATAGTCTGGGAGTCAGAAGATTTCAGAGTTTGAGAAGTCATTCTGGACAACAGTCCGTGTTTGTAAAAGGGAAACACTGCATGCCCTGCTTTGCTGTCTTCTTTTTTTGATTTGCAGAGATGTAAGATGTAGGAAGCGCATTTTCAATTATAAAAGTATTGAGACATTCCTGGTATGGGCAATTCTATAAGAGCTCCATTTGTCTTAGAGGGAAATACTGAGGCCTGGTGGAAAGTGACTTTGCTGACATGCTACAGCACATAAGAGCAGCAGTAATGGGAAAATCCACTTATTTATCATAAGGTGAGATTGTTCTGCCATAAAACCCCAAAATTTCAAGAGTGCTTGAACTGCAGACCACCACCAAATCAGTAAAGGGCCAGTGGCTGCTAACAGTGTGGCTCCTGTGTCCCTAATGTCCAGCACGGCTTGCAATCTAGTTTCCCTAGCAGTCTCGTAGTTCAGTACCTCGGTGGTCTCTCCATGTCTTTGCCCTATTGACCCACTTGTTCAGTCATCCATGGCCTGAGGTTCTTTCTTCTTCCACTGGGCTGAAATGAGGTTGCTTAACAGACAGCTGTTCAGCCCCAGCCTCCCACGCTGCGACACTCATCCTGTGAAGTGGCTGTCTGTGTGCAGAGGAAACAAGGCCAGAGAGCAAACATAAGCAATGGGCATGCCTCAACCCACTGCGCCAGCTCCTGCCAAGTGCCCTTGTCTGCTTCAGCAGAGCCAGCGGGAGCACATCCATTATCTCCCAAACCTCCTCTGCATCTTGATGTCTTTCAGTGTTTGATAGAATTTTCTCTACAGCAGTAGAGCACCTTATGCCTTTTGCTTTTATATTTTCA